ATTGTTCGTTATTATTGACGATTTTCAAATAGTTATGTTCATAATTAAATAGAACAAAAACTTCCCAAAACAACGTGTTTAGGTAATAAAACAAACAGTTCACAATATAAGCCAAGAAAATCCACTCTTTATCAGCCTAACAGACAGACAAATAGATAGATAGAACTGCGTTATAGCTTCCCTACGACAAAATTGGAAGTTATTTGTAAAGTGCCCCCCAGTAGCACAGCGGTATGTCTGCGGACTTACAACGCTAGAATCCGGGTTTCGTTACCCGTGGTGGGCAGAGCACAAAAAGCCCATTGTGTAGCTTTTATGCTTAATTACAAATAAACAACTATTTGTAAAGCGGAAAAAAGAAACATTTTAAAATTAACAATCAGAAGTACGCCCAACTTGACCTCAGAGGACTTTCATCATTTTAGCTCCAAATTTCATTTATCAACTTTGTGTGACGTTGATATCGAAATGAAAAAATGCCAAAATTTACTATCAATCAAAGAAAGGAATTTTTACCATAAATTCGAGGTTTGATCCCTGCGGTGAACATTGCCCGGGCAACTCATTGGTGCAGCTGTGCGCTTAAATACAATGCCAACAGTTAATACAATTTATTTACAAGTCTACTTTACGTTTCCAAACGTTAGTCTTAGCTTGACTGACTACAACGTTATCTGGGTCATTGAGCACTGCCATCTTTCGTATTACTAAATAAAACTAGAGATAAAGTAGTAAACTGTTGTAATTATTGCGGTTGCAAAAACGCATTAAATATTTTTTTTTAAGATAGTAATGAATAAAAATAAATAATTACTGGATGATCGATAAATGTGACGTCTTTTAATTAACTACTTTCGACACTTTTATGGGAAAGACCACCAAAATATTGTGTACATGTTACAAAATACGTAGCCTAACTAGCACTGGATATGGCAGACGTAATGTTGACCTATCAGAACAAATTCTTCTTTGCTTTCACTCGTAAGTTTTTACAATTACCTGGCATACGAAACGCTCTTCTTTTCTTTTTTTTTTTTTTTTCAAGATGTACTTTCTTATTTATGATCCACATTTTAAGAGTCTCGTCAACTTTTTTTTTTTTCAGTGTTTGACTTCACTTAGTGCTAATTGAAGGAACGTTAACATAATAAACAATATGAAAACAGGCCACGAGTCTTCAGGAATATATACTGTATTTACTCAATGCTTTCCTTTACAACTTCTTCGGAAATAACAGTACTAGGCCTAGGTTTTACGAATGTGGTGATGATTTTAAACCAGTCTAAGCCTAGTATTGTCAGTCAAGATTGAGAACTTGTATCGGTCCCGTGAAGAAGCTGTAAAATAAATAACTAGAATTTGTTTTTGATGTAAAATCATCTTTAAGTGTTCCTGTACTTCACAGTCACTTTTGCCATGTAACTCTTGGCGTAAAAGGAGGCTGGAAATTTAAATATTAAATTCCAGTATATAATTAATTTATTTTTGTATCATCCCAGAGTGAGTGAATCTTTTAAATTCTTTCTCAATGATTACAACAGGAACTTACCAAATGTTAACAACACGATAGAGTTTGTTTGTTTGTAATTAAGCACAAAGCTATACAATGGACTATCTGTGATCTGCCAACCACGGTATCGAAACCCGGTTTCTAGCGTTGTAAGTCCGAAGACATACCGCTATGCCACTGGGGGGCGCACGATAGAGATAGCTAGATGTGCATAAGTCTTTGGGATTACTAACATTTAGCCTAAATCTTCAAACTGAAGTCTTATGGCTGTTCCTATATTTCTTATTATAACAACTTGACTGGAGTCGGATTTTTAAGTGTTTATATTTCCATAGAAACATTTATCATTGCAAAAATTAACTTATAAAAATATTTAATTTAAAACCAATATATTCTCTGATTGAAATTACTTATTCACATGATGACGACATTAATTTCCCA